CTTCTGCACCCCCCCCCACCCCCACCTTCAGTTTTCCGCCTTGTTTACAGCCAAATTTACAAAAACTGTTATCCCGCTTTGCTTCACTTACTTCTTTGGGTCTGGTTAACGAAGCATAAATATAAGTAAGAGAGTAGAAAATTAATAAGTAAAAGAAGTATATACATACATATATATATATATATATATATATATATATATATATATATATAAAAGATATGTTTTGGGTTCTCTAAATTTCGCCGGAGATAAATATCCTTACACTTATTACCTTTTTAAGAAAAATTCTTGGATTTGACGCAGTTTGCTTTTATGAGGAAATCAAACATTCATTGTTATCCATCAAAAAAATACAATTTTTGATTATTTTTAAGGATTTATATGTTTGATTCAGTCGAAACTGTTTGGACATTAGTTTGAGGGTAGTTAAAGAAAACGGCTCTTGTGGGAAGTTTTCAGTCGCACTTTGTACAATTGCCAATTCCGTCAACAAGTTTTGACTAAATTTTAACAAGTATATGGGATTCGGGTAGGTGGTGGAAGAGTTTCTAAAGATAAAATTTAACCATTTGTGCAAAGCCAGTAAATATTTTACCTTTAGGACGGAGTGCGAAATAGATTTACCTCCAAGTGGTCCACCTTTAAACGTATATTCATACGCCAATAAGTATATAAATCAGCTGTTGACTTCTCACTTCAAACTACCATGACCCGACTCTATTTCATATTTCACCACTTTCACAGTGTTCATCTTACAATTTTCTCTACAGAAGTATCTATTTCTCTTTCATCTGTGAATCACTCTTCTGTTCCCCCTCCTCCCTCGACTTTTTGTGGCTTCGATGTTCCTACCCTCTGTGAACCCCGAACTAAAGTGCTAATGATGACTATCACAGGGCCTGCCATTTGATAATTATGAATACTTTTAGGACAGATGATTACACAACAAGAAGAACAAAATTCGGGTGGTGTCAGCAGATTCGGAAGGTTAATTCCTTCCCATTCAGATCAGATGAATATAGGCTGTTGCACACACCAATTTTGAGGTCAACACTGTAGGCGATGTTCTCTTTTAGCGTCTTTTTAGTCACCCTTATCTCTAATAGAACATGAAAAGCAATCACCATTGATGTATCTGAAGTTCAGCTTGATTTTTGGTCCTGTGGAGAAATGCTTTCATCGATCTGGAATAAAAACATTTAGTTCCTTTCTGCTAAATTCTCACAGAGTTGAAATCGCCGTACTACTTGTATCATTTCCGCTGCCATTTATCTTTTCAGCCGGAGTTATATCACATTAAAGTCTTTGAAATTGGCTTAAATATAGATTTACAACTTTTTCGAACAAGTGTATCAAAGTCCTCAGAAAAAAAGTACAAATATGCTGAAACTCGTAGGCAGTACTTTAGCAGGAATTGTTCGAGAGCATTCAAAACAAGTTTGAACTGTTACGTTGGTTAATAAAATTCCTAATATCATTTTTACTTATTGAATGAAATGAACTCTAGCAAAATGGTCTCGTCTAAGGAATACATGTAATTAACAATCATATTAGTATTCTGAGTAACTTTTGCTCTGGAAGGCTTTATTTAGACTGGAAGACAATATCAAATATTTCCACACAAATGGATAAGGACTCTTAATTTTTTGAATAAGGAAAAATCATTACAATACTAGATATTAAAACTTATTTCTATATAATTTATTCGGCTTAATACAGTTGACCTTATTAGTCTAAATACTATATCTAGCAGTAATAATGATAATAAAAATAGCACTTCAGGAATGGCAAGTTGTTTATTCACAACGCACTCATGCTAATGAAGGACTTACCCGGAGTTTATGGATTACACTCTCCTAGCACAATTAAACTAAGTAATCTCATGCGCACTCGAGCATTCTGGATGATGCGGTCGTGCGTGCAGGGGACTTCTCACCCAGTCGGCTATTAATGTTAAATCAAGCTATCTTTAATGTATTCAATTACTAATCAAGTTTGCATTGATCACAATTTCAATAATCGCCATGCTCGCTATACGTCTGGTTCCTTTTTACTGTTAAAGTATCTTAACTATTTCTTGGAGCACTTCCATGCCATTGTACTTTGCAATAGTTAAGGCTTATTCGTGAGGCAATCTGCCAAGGATTTCATGGATTGATAGTATTTCTATAATTCCTTTATATTCATGTTAAATTAAAACTTGTTTTCAAATTGATAGGAGCATTTTCAATATGTTATTCGAAAATTAAAAATAGAGTTTATTCTCGTAGTCTGTTCAATTTTCTGTGCTAAATGAGACACCTGTTGAGAAAATTAATAGAAATCAATATCTCGCAGACGATTTGCCTATTTTGTTAATAAACTACTTCAAAGTGCAATTATAACTCTTCACAATGATACTAGTGTATTTGATAAGGACGCTTTGCTCATTTATATTATTGTACCTATCTGTCAATTTTATTTCTGGCGCGGATGTTGAAATTGACACAGATTTACTACATCTGAAGGACCTTGGTCTTCAATATGGCTATCCAATTGATGCCTTTGGTAATATGTTTCCAACATTTACGGTGGAAAATCAGAATGAAGAGTGTGATACTTTTCGTAATCAGGTTTGGGACGTCGAATCCTATAGCAAGCGTTGCAGATCTGCCATTGCAATTGTTCACGGCACCTATGGAGCCAGTAAATACATCGAAAGGAAAGACAAAATCAATTTTGATGTCGACATTGGAGACGATTATTCAAGAAATAAAACACTACCAGCAACCTGGACAAATGGTATTTATACAGCTGGGAACATACTACTCCCATTTTACTTGCAGAATGATGTTTATCCAGATCGACCAAATTCAAAAATTAGTGGGCTCCTAACTTCAATACGTTTAAAAGAAATTATAAGTACACTGAATGACTGCATCCCAAGACTAGTTGGAAAAATAAATCCACTCAGAATGCGACCTTTGGCTTGTGGTTATACCGAATTTTTGTCGACTATGTTTGAGAAGTTCAATTTCGGTGATGACAGAGGCAGTATACTAATTCCCCCAGTTGATAACAGAACATTATCCTGTAGGCTTCTAGAATGTCAATTTATTCGTTTTTTAGCACTCTTTTGGCTTATGTTCTGCAAGCACACATGGTCTAGTGTAATTCGGAGACTGGGTGTAAATGGTTTAGAATTCAACTACCATCCATCCTGCCCAAATCCATGTGCTCGTTACCATGGAAATCCGTGTTTGGGCAGGCCCAATGTCTTCCATTTATCAAAAGTAATAGTGGATAGAACTGATGCACGTCAAGATCGATTTTTTGGGGCTCAAATTTGCCGACAAACTGAGGATCCTTATGGAATTCCCGGATATGCATCAATGTCCAATCAAGCATACGAATGCATTTGTAAAACTGTAAAAACGAAGTTTTAGTATAACTACTACTTAAACTTTATAAGTAGCTTTTATTTTAGGGCTACAGATGGTCGAATCAAACCGGAAGTTGTGTTCTCATAAATGGATGTGAACAAGAGTTAACCTGTGACCCTCGTGGAACACGGATCTGCATCTCATCAATTTCCACCATCACAAGCATCAAAGCTTTACCTTTCACCTGCTTGTGTCATCCTGGATACATGGGTTACAGATGCGAAAAGAAACGCGATGCTTGTATTGAGGTCAACCCTTATTTCTTTAATAATTTGTCGCACACTTAATTTTCTATTCATTAAGTCCGATATTTTTCATTACCACTTTTATCAAATCTAGTAATCGTAAATTAATGATTTCAAATGGGATGAAATCCCAATCTGGTCGTTCTCACACTTTTGCTTCGTTCAAGACTGTAAAGAGATATTTTATGAGGCACCATCTATTTTTAATGCTAAGAAAGTTTTTATTTCTGAAAACTAAACTCTCAACTGTAGGAATTCCTGAAATTTCTAATTATATGAACTATCTTTGCTTAAACAATAGTAAAAATTAGCAATGGATTCTACACACTTTGAAAAGTTTTTCCATAACTTTAACTTTTGAAATAGATCGATTAATTATTCGTTGGACTTCCTTTGATTTTAGCAAATTATCTTTGACATTATTTTGTTCATATTACAATTTAGAATGAAAACCCAGAGCAGATATCAGGCAATCAGGCATGTCGTGTATATCTTGGCAATACTTGTACACCTCGAACTGGGACTAATTTCTACACTTGTGAATGTAACGGCTTATATACATCTGATAAAATGGTTACATTTCCGAATTGCTTTCAACGAAAACCTATTTGCTCAGCTGTACGTCAGATTGAACTATTTAAGCCATTTAAAGATGAATGAAACTCAACATGCAGTAGTTTATTTCGCAAGGTTATTTGCAATCGAGGTGACTGCGTGGCTTCTAAAGACCAGTTAAATTATATATGCGTTTGTCAAATGGGCTGGCGTGGACGTCACTGTGAAATTCCCGACATCAGAATGTGGTAAATGATATCAGTTTTCAATCGTTAAATTGCTTTCTACTTGTTTGTGTTTAAGTAACATGTTTCGCTTACAATCCAGGCTCCCCTGGGAGGGATGGAGTGGTTGTTCGGCTGTAATTTGCACCGGGCTGGGTTGGAGACATCGTATTCGACATTGTCGAGCGAATCTTACAAAATTGGAAGAAGAGGGGGTGGACAAAGGCCTTTGTGAGGGTGAAGCTACTCAGAGACAAGTCTGCAAAGCTACGTAAGTTCACCTCCATTATTTATTAAAAATTTCCATAAAAATGGAGATATATTTATCAAAGATTCCGAATCTGGAAGTCTTATAGAGAAAAAGTGTTGATAGCATTAGCACTTAGAATTTCAAATTTCGGTCCTCTGATCTATCATGCATATTCCTGCCATTTGGTAAAGTATCTATGGGCAAAATAAGTGCTAGCGATGGCGTTAATGTGAATGCCAACCTATTGGCAGAGTCCTACGGGTTCTTTAATCTGGTTGCCTCCAGGAGGCAATTATTTGGCTCAAATAAGAACTCCAAACCACTTCCCTTAAACTCGTTTGAGAACTATTGTAGATGAGGGCTCATTTGTGTACAAAAAGATCAATAATTAGTTAAAGTAAAAGAAATTTCAACTAAAGAATAGGAAAGAAAAGTTTTTCTATCAATAAAATATTGGGAAAAATTGACAATCAAATTAATTAAGGCGAGGTAGAACTGAAGCTAACAAGTCAATCAATAATGCACTAACTGAGGAGGTTTTCCGATCTTTCAACAGATCTGTTGTGGTAACGGGGTTCGTGGCCACTTAACTATCATTTATATAACTGGAACGAACAGCTACCAATATTAACGGTAAATGATCACATTTACCATGTACACTTGCGAATGAAGGTAAAAATATTTCATGATTTATGAAATTACGCATGCCCTCTTCATGTTCAAGAAAAAAATCGGGAAATATATTTCAAGTAAATCAATCAATCGTGCGAATGCAGTTTAAGGATAGACAGCTTGAAAGGACAGAAGGAAGTGAGACAAGGACGAGTAAATAAGCAGTTGTAAGGATGGCTATCACTACATTTCAAATGGAAAGTTTTTGCTTATGTTCTTGCGTTAGCAAATCATATTCATTAATATACATAACTTATAGCGAGACGATAATTGTCTATTTCATAGATGTCCCGCTGCAATAACGCCCTATCTCCTCTGCCTGAAAGTTATCGTCGTGTTCTGCCTCGGATGTGTCATTTTGGTTTTAGCCGTTGGAATGATGTTTCTCCGAGTTAGGGTCGAAGTTGAATAGTGTCTTCATCTTCGAATCGGCGTGGATTCTAAAAATCACTGTTTGTTTAATGCTGTTTAACTCAATTTGTTACAGTTGTTACTATCACTAGATAAGAATTTTTCCTCTGAATGAAACAAGAAATAAAATGAAAACAAGAATTGACCAAATAAACATAAAGGATCAGCTGAGTTTCTTTTATTTTAT